GCATAAGCTTTCGTGGACTACAGCCCACTTATGCTCTAATAAATCTGTTAGTCTCTAAGGTGCCACAAGTACTCCTGTTCTTTTTGCGGATACAGACTAACACGGCTGCTACTCTAAAACAAAGTAATATTTTATTACAGAAACATGACCACTGAACACACCCTAAGTCACACATCTTAGTCTTGTAATAAATGCATCAGGGAACTTCTAATTGGCTAGAAAGGTTTTCTATGACATGAAGAAACTGCTAGGTAGATACAACACACCAATAAAATCACTGCTGCAACATTTGATGGTATAATCCAACCCATTCTGCTATTTGGGAATGAAATCTGGGGCCCAACTTTAATAGCTGACTACAGTGACTGAAATAAAACTGCAGTAGAAACCTTACATGTGCGGCTCAGCAAACAAATCCTCCTGGGCATGGGAACTCCAGGCAGCAACAGCAGAGAAGAACTGATCTAACCTCCCTACTAACCAACATACAGAGCTGGTTATTAACCTCCTGCGACCACCTCAGCCAAAGCAGCAAAACTTCCCTCAGTCACAAAATACTAGAGGATCCAAAATTAAATCCAAATGAAAACACGATCCACTTCTGTGTGTCATCACCCACCTTGCTCAGTAACCCCAGCTCCCTGAGCAGTGGGGCAAACAGGTCTAGTGAAAACTGAAAAGTACTCAAGATACAATGTAGGCCAAAAGAAATTGTCTCAAGTAAATTGTACTCTGTTCTGCTTATTTTGCTTTATACTCCATTTTGCTAACTTTGAATTATTAAGAAGAAATTATTTTGAGTTTATTCTTTGTTGATTGTATTAATGATTGTTCTTAGAAGGATAGAAATTTTATGCCTGTAATTATTGCCTTATTTACTGTTTGGTGTGTGAGTGAAGAATGTGTGTTATACTAATTAACTGAGACGAGACAGCTGGGCCGGATGGTCAAGAGGGGAGTGGAGGAGTCGCGAGGCACCAACTTTATTATCAGAATCACCCGGATGGCAGATTGACAACCCTGAAGCAAAGGCATACACACCAAAGACAAGATAAGGAGTTGAGCCTGAGGAATGAGATACGAAATAGCTGCGGATCCTCCCGGTAACAACTCAAAATAATGTTAATTAAGAGCAACCTTGAATACCTCGTGATTGACAGCTCTGGTGTGACACAGCAAGGTCCATAAACTTGTATGGGAACTTATTACTATAAAAGAAGGGTGTATTGCCATGGGACTTTGGGTTCGTTCTGCATCATCATCAGAGCTTTGAACACCTTCGACAGAGACCCAGCTTCCCCTCCCTCGTGTGCAGTTTCAGCTGGCCACTGGAAGTGACCGAGCAACACTAAGGATCCAGCTGGAAGCATATGTTGATTTTAATGCTTACATTGTACTCTCAATAAATGCGGCGTATTGCCTTATCCCCTTTTAAGAGATTCCATGTGCTTCTTATAAGCATAACAACTAGACCAGCACCTAAAACACCAACGTATGAGTCACCAGGAAAAACAAATAGGAACAAGCTAGACTGCTACAGGTCCCTGTAGAGAAATCATATGAGTTGACTACCTCACCCCTGTGAAATGTGGCAAACTAATACAGACTAAGTGACCGTAAGGCAGCTATGGAAATGGGGAGGTGCAAAGCAGGGTCTAAACCCAGAAAGGAAGTGACAGAGCATCTAATGGGAGAGGAGCCATTGAGACAGAGAGACTCCTGCCACTCCAATGTCCCAAATAAGAGGAAATGCAAGAAAGATATTTCCACAAATTGTCAAGAATCAGAACAGACTTCTTGTCAAAAAGTGATAAGGAAAAACTGGGCATGACCCAGAGAGAAAAGGAGAGAAATGGCAAAGATAGCAGCACACAATGTAGCAACCTGCCAGTAGATCAGGAATGAACAGGAATAACAAACGCACACAGAAGCAAGCTTCAGACACAGCATGTAGCCCCATCCTGAGTGCATCTTACCTGCCTCAGGCAGATATCTGGGGAGACTGTAAAAAAAAGAGACACTTTGACCACACTTGTATAGCTTGTTCTGCCAATCAAGTCTCAATGAATTGAACTGAATAACTGATCTGCGTGTGTGAGGAAGCTCACCGTCCACATGCGCGACAGTGTGTGTGTGTGTGTGGGGGGGGGTATGGGGAGCTCACCGTGCACCTGCACGACGTGGGGAGGGGGTGTTGCACAGGAGGGGGTTGTGGGGAGCTCACTGTGGGTGTGGGAGGGTGTTTGTAGGACCCCACCATGCATGTGCATGACTGGGGGGGCCATGTTTGTGGGGAGCTCATTGTGCACATCCATGACTGTGTGTATGTGGCTGTTTGTGGGGAGCTCACTGTGCACATACATGACTGTGGGGGGTGGGGGAAGCTCTTTGTGCATGTGTCTGTGAGGCGCTAGCTGGGTGTGTCTACTCTGGAACTGGAAGGAGTAATTCCTAGTTCGAGGGACTAGAACTAGGAATCTGATCGAGCTAGCATGCGAACAATAGGGTGAAGCCATGGCGGTGCAAGTGTTCCTGTCTGTGATGCTAGGCACCTACTCAGGTAATGAGCCCCTGCCACCACTCATGACATCTACATCGCTACTGTTGGCATGAACTCAATCAGAGCTAATGTGGGTCTGTCTACCTGTGCTGGGAATCACACCTACTAGCTCCAGCATAGAAATGCCCACTGTGTGTGTGCAGGGTGTGCAGGTTCAGGGTCAGCTGAGCTGCCATACCTGCCCTGACCCACTTGTGAGCTGTTTGTTTTTTTACCTTACCTGCCACTGCTGCTTGCATCTGGGATCCCTTCCTGGGCACTGCTGAATGAGCCCTTCCAATCTGGTGCAGTGCCTAGGGGCACCTGAATGGTCTCCATCTCCGGAGAGCCCTCCAAGGAGAGAGCTGAGTTGATCAGCTGCTGGATGCTCTTCTGCATGTGCTGCTCTGTGGCCCTTCCAGTCTTGATACTGGGTCTTATGGCTGATGGGGAAGTTTCAGGGGTGGCTGTGACTGGCTGGACTTGCAGGGGGCCTGCCAGCTCTGGGTCCCCTCCAGGCTTGAGACTTCTCTGGGTCGGCACACCTGGGATGTGCCTCCTGATCACTGGTTCCTGGCCCGAGACAGCATAGGCATATTTCAGAATAGTGTTGACATTGGAGTGAAGGCGGATGTCAGGATGCAGCAGGGTAGTCTGACTCGTGGGTCTGGGGTCTGCCTGACCCAGCGCTGGGGGAAGAGCAGACAGAGAGCAAGTGAAGAAGGGACTGAACCTCACCCTCACTTCTTAGAGTGTATCCCTACAAATAAACACACACACTGCACGTACACACATTCACACACCCTGTCCAGCTAGGCCTCTCTCAGATTCATGTTCCCTTAGCTTTGCACAGACTCTCACATCCCCACTGGCTGCTGAGCTGCACACACTTCCTTGTGATACGTGCATGCCCACCCACGTGTCCATTCACTGTGCGCACACACAACCCTTGTCCCACACTGCCAGGGATGTGCACTCCTACACCCACCTTGTAACACACTGGCCTGCTCCACCATGCACACCTGTATGACCCACTGCATTCACACGTGTTCCCTTCCCTCCCATCGGGCCCAAACCCTGAAGAGAGCTTCTCAAAGAGTCAGGACGCAGGGGAGGGCCATGGGGAAGAGAGGCAGAGGTGAAAGTAAGCCGGTATGGTACGGTACAGCACGGCGTACTGGCAAGAGCCAGTACACCATGCCGGATTGCATTGGCTTCCGGCTGCCAGAGCTGTGGTGGGTATTTAAAGGGCCTGGAGCTCTGCAGCGGCCGGAGCCCTGGGCCCTTTAATTTGCCCCTGAGCCCTGGGGGCTCCCAGCCACCTCTGCAGCTGGGAGCCCCAGGGTGATTTAAAGGCCCTGGGGCTCCCAGCCACAGCCGGTGCCCCAGGGCCTTTAAATCTTGAGAGGCCCCGCCTCTTCCGGGTGAGGCCACACCCCCGCTCAGGACTCCAGCCGTACCGGTAAGTCCTGTAAATTACTTTCACCCTTGAAGAGAGGGGATGAGAAGGGCACGTGGAGAAAAAAACAGAAGTGGATATGGAATTCATCCAGCACCATGGTACCTGCTTCGCTAGTGGACCCAGCACGGGAAGACCAGTTGCTTTTTGCCCAGGAGCCCATGGTATCAGACACCTCTCCTTGGGCACGAGGTTCTTTGGGGGGAGCCATATCAGGACACAGGATCCGCTGAACAGGGGGCAAGGAAGGTGAATCTAGAGACCCTACTGTAACCATCCCTCCTGAAGCCCACACCTCCATTGCATTACACACAAATGAGACCCCCCCCCACTGCAGTAATCCCTGTTTGAAATAATCCCAACAATGCTCTCACCTCTGCTGCAATAATCCCTTGACACGCCTCCTCTCCACTGTGATAATCCTCTCAACACACCCACCCCTGGAAACTCCTCCCCTCAACTGTGACATCCCACTCTGAAACCCCTCCCCTCTAGTGCAACAATGCCCCCAAAAGCCCTCCCTTCTACTGCATTAATCACCACCACACCCCGGCCACTCCACTGCAATTATTCCCCCAAACTCCACCCCCTTCACTCTTATAATCTGCCCAAACCTCTCCCATATGTTGCAATAACCTCCCAACCCCTCCCATCCACTGTTATAATCCCCTGCACAACCCTCCCCTGCACTGTGGTTCTCTCAGTAAAATTCCACCCCTGCAATAATCCCTCCCCTCCCCTAAGAAAATCCCCCCCCAAACACCCTCCTCTCCACTGTGATAATCTCCCCCAAAATGTCAACCCCTCCACTTTATAATCCACCCAAACCCCTACCATCCACTATGAAAAATCTCCCCAGAAATCCCTTCCTTACATCGCAATAATTCCCTTGAAACCCCTCCTTTCCAATTCAATAATCCTTCCCAAACCCCACCCCTGCCATAACCTCTCAAACCCCTCCACTGAAATAATCCCCCAAGAAATGCCTCCCCTCCACTGACACTCTCCCTCAAGCCCCAACCCTCGACTATTCATACCCTACACACTATAGTAATAACATTTGTATAAAGTATGCCTTGTAAGGTAGCATTTGAAAAAAACTCGTTATTTGCTGGTCAGTATTGTCCTGGTAACATGTGTGGCAATACTTTGTGTGAAGTCATAAGATTTCTCTGTATGCTATTATTAGCCCTTGTTCCAAACCCCACAGCCCTGCCCAGGCAGAAGTCAGGTCTGCCCAAAGCAAAAGAAGGTACGTGTGCATGCCTTAATGTGCATTTAAGCAGTAAACAGAGTCATCATGCAGAGAGGGGAAACAAACGAAGTTCAAACAGGGGGGGAAAACAGCAGGAGATATCCTTCCACACTGACTTTTTGGCTTTTGGATCTCTGCTGGAAATGTTTTTCAAGAGGGGGACTGAAATGATAAAAAGGAGGGACAAACACCCCAAAGCACCCCCACTCTCTCCCTGCCTATTGCATTCACTGCACCTGAAGAGACAAAGGAAGCAGTGATTGGATTCAGGGGTGGGGGTTCTGACCTAAAGAGATTGTCAGTAAGACTGCTGAAAGCAAGTTGTGAGAAAACTTTGCTTTGAATCTAATATAGTTTGTTAAGCTAGACACTAGAAAGCGTTTTATCTTCATTTTTCTTGTAACCATTTCTGACTTTTATACCTCATTCCTTGTACTCACTTAAAATCTCTCTCTTTGTAGTTAATAAACTTGTTTTAGTGTTTTATCTAATCCAGTAGGTTCAAGATGAAGTGTCTGGGTAACTCCATTTGGGGGTAACAAGTTATGTGCATATTATTCCCTTAAAGAAATAGCAGACTTAATATATTTGTACTGTCCAGGAGAGGACTGGGCAGTACAGGACCTATGTCTCTGGAGGGAAAATCTAATACTGGTGCTGTGTTGGGATCACCCTGCAGTATAACCAAGGCTGGTAAAAGCCAAGGTGTGGCAGGCTGGCTGCAGCACACACAGAGACACGGCTGGGAGTGACTCACATGCTGGAGACTGTTTGTGAGCAGTCCAGGTTGGAGGCTGCAGCAGCAAGGCATTGTAAAGGGCACCCCAGGTTATGGGACAGGGGTGACAAAGGCGCCCAGCAGTGTGAATTGTACCCCTGGTATGTCACACCTTCCCTTCTGATGCAATAACCACCACCACCACACCATCTCTCCTCCATTGCGAAAATCCCTTTGAAACCCCACCTCTCCACTGAGATAATCCATCCCTGAACCATTGTAATACCCCCTAGCTCCCCTCCACTGCAGCAATCCCCCTGAAACCCCGTGCCTCCACTGTGATAATCCCCTTGAAACCCATTCCCTCCACTACAATAATCACCTTTAAGACTCTCTTGTGACACTCTGTGCCTCAAAGCAACACACTGGCACCCACACAGTTACCCATGGTGATAGGATTATGATATGTTTTGTGAGGTATCATTTTGAAAGTCTTGATCTGTTGAACATTAATATCTTGTTGGATTGTATGTACTATCATTGTATGTGGAGTAATGAAGTTTTGCTATGTGTGTGTTACTGAAATATGTTATGAAGTTGGAAACACCCACAACCAGCCTTTCAGGTAAAACAATAGGGCAGCCAGAAACTGATGATGGCCCATTAAGGGGAATACACACTCACAAGGACTGTCCCAGGTACCGTATACAATGGAGACTTCTCAAAGATAGCATGTAGGCAATGGAGATTGTTTGATTCACATCATAGCAAAGGATCTTTCCAGCAGGCTGGAAGCAGCTATAAAAGGGGAAGTGACATCGTCGCTTGACCTCTTTCCCCCCACAACTCAGCAATTGGAAATAGGTCTGTAGAACAAAGACTGAACTGGGGAGGTGGTCCCAGGCTGGAAAGGAGAATCCCAACCTATGCCTTAAAGAACAATACCATTAGGGTGAGACATTGCTTGATTCAACTCCTGTCCAGTTTATAGAACTCAGATTGCGGTTTTACTTTTATTTCTTAGCTTTGATCTCTACGCATGCCTCTTATAATCACTTAAAATCTATCTTTCTGTAGTTAATAAATCTATTTTATATTTTACCTAAAAGAGTGTGTTGTTTGAAGTGGTTGGGGAATCTGCTCAGGAACAAGAGCTGGTGCATGTCCACTTTCCTTTGTAGAAGGGGTGGACTGGTTAATCAACTTATACTGGTCAGGCTTTTGACCAGGGCAAGATGGTACAGCTCTGGGGTCCTAGGCTCGATGGCTGGGGGCTGGCTGGAGCCTCTCTATTGTTAGTTCATGAGTGGGGCTAGGAGAAATATTCATGTAACTCAGCAGGGGGTGTCCCTGCCTGTCGATGGCTGTGTACCTGAAGTGCAGTACCTGGAGAGGACTGCAGCTTGTCACAGCATCACAATGTGAGAGGGAGCCCAGGTTGGTGAGACAGGGGGCCCTGCTCCAGGTTGCACACCGGGGAACCCATCACACCTCCCTTCCACTATAACAATCCCACTGAAACCCCTGCCTTCTATTAAAATAATTCCCCTGAAGCCCCTCCCCTCCATTGCGATAATCTCCCCTGAAACCACAACCTTCCCCTCCTCTACAATAATCTGCCCCAAAACCCTCCCCACATTGCAATAATCCCCTTGAAAACCCTTCTTTCCAATGAGAGAATTCTTCCAAAACCCATTCACTGTCATAACCCCTGGAATCCCGTCCCCTGCACTGAATTAATCCTCCCCTAAACCCCTCCCCTCCTCTGTAATAATCCTCTTCAAACCCCAAACCTTCACTTCAATAATCCCCACAATGCCTACCCCTCCACAATGAAAATCCCCCAAACCCCTCACCTCCACTGTGATAATCACTTTGAAAACACTCCTTTCCAATGCAATAATAATACCCTTGAAACTCCTCCCCTCAAGTGCACTATTCCCCTTTGAACACCCTCCCCTCCACTGCAATAATCCCTCTGCAACCCCTCCCCTATCCCCAGAATCCCATCCCCTCCACTACAGTAATGTCCTGAAACACCTTCCCTCCTCTGTGATAATCCCCGCCAAGGTCCCTCCACTGCATTCATCACCCCCTTAGTCTCTCCCCTCCACTAGGATAATCCCCACAACCCTTCTCCACTCCACTGTGATTATCCCCTTTAAGACCCTCCTCTCCAAACCCTTCCACTCCACTGCAATAATCCCCCTGCAAACACCCTCCCCTCTGTTGTGATAATGCCCTTGAAATCCCTCCCCTCCAATAATTTGCCCCCGAATCCCACCCCTCCAATAACCCTCCCAGAAGCCCCTCTCTTCCAGTGATAATGTTCACAGAAGCCATCACTTTTCATTGTGATAATCCCCTTGAAATCCCCCTCCACTACAAAATCCTCCCAAGCCCCTCCCCTACACAGCAATAATCCTTCAAACTCCTCGCCTTCACTGCGATAATCTCTCCCTCTCCCCCTCCTCCACAGTGATAATCCCCCCCCAAATTTTTCCACTCCACTGCAACAATCCCCCCATAACCCCTCCCTTTTACTGCAATAATTCCATGGACTCCTCTCCCCACCATTGCGATAATCCCCTCAAAACCCCTCCCCCTTCCCATGTGATAATCCCCTCGAAGACCCTCACCTCCTCTACAATAATCCCACTGATACCCCTCCCCCGCTGAGATGATCCCCCCTGAACACCCTTCCCCCCATTGCCTTAATTCCCCACAAAGCACTCCCCTCCTCGCTATAATCCTTCCCAAACACCTCCCTCCCACTGCAATAGCTCCCTAAAACCCTCCATTCCACTGTGAGAATCCCTCAAATCCCCTCCCCTCCACTGCAATAATCCCCCCAATTCCCTCACTGCAATAATCCCCCCAAGCCCCCATATTCTCCTGTGAATGAAGGGGGGTAGCTCCCTTTTATGGACACCCAGCCAGCCAGTAGCTATAAAATCCCTCTTAGTAGCTATTCTCTAATTGATCTACCTGTAAAGGGTTACAAAGTCTCACTGCTATGCATCGGTAAAAGGAAGTGAGTGGGCACCTGGCCAAAAGAGCCAATGGGAAGGCTAGAACTTTTGAAAACTGAAACAAGACTCCCCTTTTGTCTGTCTGTCTGTTGTTCTGGGGGAGAGGCAGACAGGGAGCAGTTATGCTGTGAGAAGCTTGGGCCAGGTCTGAAAAATTATCATTATTATACCTAGAAACTACTCATCTAAAACTCCAGATATCTAAGTAGATCAGGAAATGTCTAGGAAGATGCAATTAGGTTTATCCCTTTTATTTCTTTATGTCTTGTGGATTCCTCTGTACTAACCCCAGCTGCTTTTGTTTTGCTTCTAACTTTTTAAACTGGACCTCAAGAGAGCTATTCTTGATGCTTGATTCTTGTAATTTTTTTTTAATCTAGCAAAAGCCTAAATCCCAGATGTATTTTCTTCTTTTTTTGTTAATTAATAAAATTTACCTTTTTTAAGAACAGAATTGCATTTATGTGTCCTAAGGGGTTTGTGCACATTTGTTTAATTAGCTGGTGGCAACAGTTGATGTCCTTTGTTTTTCTTCTGAGCTCTTCCCTGGGGGGGGGGAGGGGAGGATACCCCACAGGAAGGAATTTCCAAGTACGCCTTCCTGGGTTCTCAAAAGGGTTTTACACTTGGGTGGTGGCAGCATCTACCAATTGTGAAAGTGAAATGAATTATATTAAAGAAATAGAATGAATTAAAGAATGCTGTATGTACCTTTAAG